TTCCCATCCAGCTGACGTTTCTGTGGTTCATTTAAAGTGAAACCAAGAAATGCCAATTAGGTGATTTTCTGCCTAGCAGCCCAAGTGCAAGCATAAAGCAAATGTGCTCGTGCAGAGTTGAGGTTTTAATATTTGAGTGTGACAGAGTATTGTAGAGGGGCAAAGAAGTTGGGGGACTGGCTTGGCAGAGATTCTTCCTTTAAAAGGAGGAAGTGAGGGACACGTTGGCTCAGTTGGCTAAGGTGCTGCCTTCAGCTCAGGTCATGATCCCAGGGTCCTGAGATTGAGTCCTGCGTTGGGCTCCTTGCTCTGCAGGGAGCCTGCTTCTCTCTCTCTGCCTCTGCCTGCCACTCTGCCTGCTTGTGCTCTCTCTCTCTGATAAATAAATAAATAAAATATTTAAAAAAAATTTTTTTAAATAAATAAGTAAATAAATAAGAAGAGTGAATTGAAGAAAGCTGATTAGAGGCCTTGGAGATAAAAGACCTGGAAGCTGGAAGTATAAAAGGTAGTGCAGGGAAGAGGGACATCTGAACTAATGGTTTTGAAGTAAGTTTTTGGTGATCAGTTTCCTGTGACCTTCCTATGCATAGTGGAGGTAGAAGGGAAAAGGTCAAGACTGGGAGGTCTGAAGTTAAAGAAATAATTCACATGGAAATCATGGAAAGGCAAGCATTAGGGAAGAGAAGAGATTATGAGCCTTGTGCTGAGAACTGGTTGATGACTTTACCATGGAAGAGAAAGGGTAATAAAGCCAGGTGGCACTAGACATTAGAGGAAAGAAAGAGAAAAGCAGGGTTGAGAATGATCTGGTCTTGCTACAGAGGGGCAGCAAGTTAGGCACTGTCTCTGTCTTGTGATAGTAAGGTATGAGGTGTTTTGAGAAAAAGCAGCTTCATCTGAGACAGCCACGGGGAAGAAAGCAGTGTCTCAAGGGACAGCAAAGATTCAGGTAATATAAAGGAAGTAGTAAAGGGAACAGTCACAGAAGTCTGAGGCTACAGAAATCTGAGGCTATATAATTGTTAATTGATGACAGACGGCTCTAGGAAAAGTGACACTCTCTGCTTGGCTACCCACTCTACATCTGGCCAGTCACAGTGTGACTATTCACTGTTCCCTGTTCATTCAATGAATCAACAACGAAACAGAATTTAAGAGCTTAATTCCTACAGTAACAGCCAGTTCTTTTTTTCTTTTAAACTGTGGTAAAAAATATCTAACATTTACTATCTTAACCATTTTTAAGTATACAGTTCAGTGGTATTAAGTACATTCACACTGTTGATACCATCCTTCTCTATAACCTTTTCATTTACCCTAACTGAAACTCTGTATCCAATAAACAGTAACTCCCCAATCTCCCCCTCCCCCAGGCCCTGGCAACCACCATTCTTCCTATTTTTATAAATTTGACTTCTCTATGTACCTCATATAAGTGGAATCATGTGTTTGTCCTATTTTGTCCTGCTTGCTTCACTTAGTATAATGTCCTCAAGGTTTATCCATGTTGTAGCATGCATTAGAATTTCTTTCTTGTTCAAGACTGAATATTCTAGTGTATGTGTATATGTATGTATGTATACACACACACACATTTTCTTTATCCATTCATTCAACAATGGACCTTAGATTGCTTTTACCTTTGGCTATTGTGAATAATGCTATTAACCTGAGTATACACTTACCTCTTTGAGACCTTGGTTTTAAATCTTTTGGGTATATACCCATAAATGAAATCACTGGATCATATAGTAATTTTTTGGATAAAACACCATACTGTTTTCCATAGGATTGTACATTTTACATTCCCACCAACAGTGCACAAGGACTTTGCCAACATTTCATTTGCTTTTCTTCACAAACTTAACATTTGCTTTTTTTTTTTTTTTGTAGTGGCCATCCTTATGGATGTGAGGCAGTATCTCAGCATTTTCCTAAAGTGATGTTGACCATCTTTTCATGTTGCCTATTGGCTATTTGTATATCTTTTTTGGAAGAATGTCTGTTTCTCTTTTGCCCATTTCTGAATTGGGTTGTTTTATTCTTGTTGAGTTGTAGATCCCCTATTAGATATGATTCTCAAATATTTTCTCCTATTCCATGGGTTGCCTTTTCACTCTGTTGATTATGTTTGATGCACAAGTTTTTTATTTTGAAGTAGTCTGATTTACCAGTTTCTTCTTGTTCCCTGTGCTTGTAATGTTGTATTCAGGAAATCACTGCCAAATCCAATGTCAAGAAGCATTTCCCCAATTTTTTGTTTTTTAGTTCTTATGTTTTAGTCTGCTATAAGGTAAGGGACCAACTTCATTTTTTTTTATGTGGATATTGTTTTCCCAGTACCATTTGTTGGAAACTGTCCTTTCCCCATTGGTCTTGGCACCCATATAAAAAATCATCTAACCATATATTTGAGGGGTTATTTTCAGGCTTTATATTCTATTCCATAGGCTGATGTCTGCCTTTATGTCAATGGTTTTAAATAATTGAAAAACATACAATGATGTCTTTATCCTCAGTCATCCATTTAACCTTTATCAAAGTGTTTCCATACCTTCTAATACCTTCTCTCCCTACTTCTTCCACCTCCTCACATCACTACTCAGGTTCAAAACTGTAATGACTACATCAACAGATAACAAATTTCTATAGTTTCTGAACTTTAAAATGTAATCAACGTTATTTCTTCTTGGCACTGGTAAGTTTGTGCATGTACTGAAACTATCTCATGAGTCTCAAAAACAGGTCAGCTTTAAATGATTATTGAAATATTCTATTCAATAGGTCAGAACTTAATTTTAAAACATACTATTTTGTTGAAAAACATTTAGCATTTGAAGGAATTCTCATTAACACTTTTTTTTCCTTCTTTACTTAGGGGCCGCTGTATTTTGTGTTGCTCCAAATGCAGTATTTCCATTTGAATTGTATAATGAAGAGTATTTAGAGCAAAGGGACATCTATCTGACTCAGTGCCAACAGCAGCTCCAACAGTTTATTACCACATATGGACCTGGGACAGCTCTTTTCACTAGCGATGAATAGCCAATCTGAGGATATTTTCTTCATATTTAAGCAGTATAAAAGTGTGATTTTGAAGTAATGCTTCAGGTAATACTATGTATAATAATACATTAGAATGCTACCCTAAATGTATGAAATATGGTCTCAATATGAAAAACTTACAAACCAAGCAATGTTAAAAAAATCACTTTTATGTAGTTCCCTCTATTTGTCACAAGATGGCAACAACACTTTAAATGAAAATATTTACCTACAAGTCATTTTAAACCATTTTTCATGCACCTGTGAACTGGACAAGAGCAATTTCTATAAACAGAAGCCTCAAATTTAAGATTTCATACTGTATTATATACTGTTATGTCCATTATATCATTTTGGAAGCCCTAATTATGGAATAAGGGAAAGCTTGGATATTCCCCATTTTTTAAGCCAGGTTAAATGAAAAAGTAATTTAAATCAAAGGGCAAGAATTGGCTCTTTAAACCTAATTGGTTACAGGAAAGGTACCAAAAGGCAAAGAAACCAATCTGCAAATCCTTTGTTTTTGGAGGGAAAAGATCTACTCTGAAAGGTGGGGCAGGGGTGGGTTGGGGAGAGTAAGACCGAGAAAATATGCTTAACTTGTAAAATCCCCAAATCCTTTTCATTTTTCAAAGCTTAAGAGAAATTATAAAATAAAATTTTAAAAATACATATAAAATAAATAAATCTTACTGAAAGGAAAATGTCATTACAAAATTGCCAAAATTTCACCCAGATACTACCATGCTGATTCTTTAGAAACTGTTACCTCATGGAGCTTTTTAACCATAAAGATGGGACAGGTTTCTCTATGGACCTTTGACAAATCATTCAAAAATAGTGAATATACACTAGTCACAGATACTCCTGTTTAGAAAGCAAAGCTAGTTTTCAAAAACAATTTACATATTGAAGTTCTGTAATTCTAGTTAAGACCTTATTTTGTGGCATCTTTGTTGCTATACAGGTTTTGTACTGTTTGACTTGCCATATTGAAATTGTAACTTGGATAAAGGCAGGTCATTATATACTGTGGGACTCAAGAGGGGAAAAGCAAGATTTACCTAAACCTCCAGTTAGGAATTGTTTTAGAATTTTTTTGGAAACTTCTATTTACTTGAGAACAAGCATAAAAGGGGCGTGAGAGGGAGAAGCAGACTCCCCGCTTAGTAGAGAGCCCAATGTGGGACTCAATCTCAGGACCCTGAAATCATGATCTGAGCCAAAGGCAGACACTTAACCGACTGAGCCACCCAGGCAGTCCCTAGTTTTAGAATTCTTGTAAATCCTCAAGTACTGGACAGACTGGACAGTTGTCCAATCACTATTTTCCTTAATGTAACATTATTTGTTCTAGTAATGGATCAGAATTATTTTTTTCAGAGCAATTGTTTTTTTTTTTTTATTTTATTATTAAGATTTACTCATGAGCGAGAATGAGGGAGGGGGAGCAGAGGGAGAGGAGAGCCTAAGCATACTCCATGCTTAGTGCAGAGCCTGATGCTGGGTTTTATCTCACAACCTGAGAAGAAACCAAGAGTCAGATGCCCAACTAACTGCACTACCTAGGTACCCCAGGGTTACTTTTTTATTCAAAGGTAAAAACAATAAGATTTAAATTTTAAACAAATTCCACAGGTCATAAGGCGATTCCAAAATACTTGTTTTTTAGGTATAATAGCAGGTTCTGGGGGAAACCTTATGGTTATCTAGTTTGCTGAAATCCCCTAAGGCAAGAAAGGGCAGGAGAACTGGAGGTACTAGAATGTCTCCCTGGGTGACTGCCTTCTCAAAGGGAATCATCCACAAATGAGCTAGTTATTGACAAGAACACAGTATCCTTAAAGGATGTTAAAAACAAGTCTGACTAGTGATTATGAAAATGGAGCGGTTTAGAGATATTTAAAAGGTAACAGGCATTACTGACCAGCAATTACAAGTACTCAAAGATGTATTTTTCTACATCGTTTATTGTGAAGTGATCAATGTTAAATAAAATATTAATTTTATTATCTGTTTCAATTCATGTCTTCTTGACCAATTCTTCATTTCTCCTTCCAACTGCATGCCTCTACAAAAAAAAAATCAGAAACCAATAGTGAAAAAAAAATCAAGAATCAAAAAGAAACCATACTTCTGACATACACAATTTTTTTTAAAAGATTTTATTTATTTATTTGACAGAGAGAGATCACAAGTAGATGAAGAGGCAGGCAGAGAGAGAGAGAGGGAAGCAGGATCTCTGCCGAGCAGAGAACCCGATGCGGGACTCGATCCCAGGACCCTGATATCATGACCTGAGCCGAAGGCAGCGGCCTAACCCACTGAGCCACCCAGGCGCCCCATACAGACAATTTTAACAGGAAATGGCGCTAGCCCACTGGAGTTTCAGATACTTTTGAATTATTAATAGCTGTGATTACTTGACAAATCATAATTACTTACTTGAGGCAATGAATTTTAACCATGACAGTTTTGGACTTGAATATTCATCTGCAGCTACCTATACGCTGAAAAGAACATTTCACCCATTTTAATTAAAAATTGCATTATACTTGTGTAATTCACCTCAACAATATAGGTTACTGGCATCTCAGTCTTAAAATTATTTCTTCAAAGAAACCCTCAGCTGGGTAAACGGCAAAAAGTAATTTAAGTCATCATTGTGCCAGCTTTAATTTAAACCTATGTAAAAAATGTATTAAACATTAAAAAGCACACAATTAACACTAAATTTGGTACCTCATTACGTGCAGTTGTGCTCCTAGTGGTTTTATCACAGCCATCCTGTAAGCAGTTTCTGGAAAACATCAGGATGACCTTCATTCATCTTCACCTCATAGGCTCTGCTGCACCTGGAAATTAAAGTATTTTGAGTTCTCATTTGTACTTGCATCCATTTGTTTGGCATCTAATATGTAAAAATGGTCCAATAAGATTTTTTCCTTCTTATCAGGAACCATAAATGCAGTAATATTTGCAACCTTCCTGACTCCCAACTAACTTCTTAATAAAAACCACGTTTTTCCATATAGTGGAAAATTTTTCTGTTGTTTAACACACCTCTAATGAGCAAAGTATTTTCTGCTTAATTCTTTTTTTGATAGTCAAAACAGATAAACCCCAAATTTAAAATCTCTATAATGATTTGAGCATTTTATTATTTTTGACTGTTCGGGCCCTAATAATTCTATAAATGACCTTTCCAAGCTGGAAATGGGTTTATTAGCATGAACAGGAAAAATGGTGGATACATATGATGGTTCTTTACTGTGGTAGTATCGATTTTAAGACATGATGGTCCTAATGAGTACCTGGCCATTGCTTTTCTGTCTCAGAGCTTGACAAGGATGAGATATGAATCAGGTTAAAGGTTAGATATATAAAAACAAGTGTGCAGACCTCCAACCAAAGCATCACAATGGCAAATCTAATATAGTTTTACAGCAGATACATTATGTTGGCATCATTATTGGGACAGTCTTGTGGAATTAAGTCCCAGGTTGCCTGAAAGCACACTTAGGCAGTGCAAAGGGAATGGCCAGGACCACAGATCATATCCCACAGCACCCAGGAGGATAAATCATTGAACCAGACAGCTACTGGAAATGATTTATGAAGACACAGCAAATGCTGGACCTTGCAAAACAATTTATCATTTTCAAGTCTGGAAATAATTTCACATAATCAATATTAGGAACACAAACTATTAGTTATGAATAATTCCAACTGGAAAATTTCAGTGTAATGAGATTCATGAAAACTACTGACAACTATATGCATAATCCCATCTGTGTAGCCTCTAAGAATGTTTAGAGATAAACGTATCTGGAATTAAACTATCTGTCCCACTCAGCTAAAAAAGCGGAGAGCGACAAAAAACCCAGATAACAGGCGTCTCAGGATGGAAGGCAGGAGAATGGGACGGGAAAGAAATGAGATGCTATTGTATTGGTAAAATCACAATTAATGGTTTGGTACCCTCTGTATTTATTATGCTTCAGGAATTACCTACATTATCAATATTTTTACCAAACATTAGACTGAAAATTTTTTTAAAATCCCAATATTTATCAATAAAAATTGGCTTCAAGCCCCTTAGGCCTCAAAATAATGACTAATACCAAATTTAAACTATTTTGCAGCCATCACACTTGCCTTGTTGTCAGCAACGTATTCGGAGAGGGAACAACAAACCACAGGATTTCACCAAGTCTCGTAGAAGAAGTATTCATTAATAACTTGTTTTTGAATAGGCAGTATTTTTCCAGTCTCCTAGCGGCTGACCTGGTTTCTTCCCTCTTAGGTCCAGAAATACACATCTCTATACAAACGCAAACATCTAAGGGTAGATAGAGCAGGCATTTATGGCCTGTGGGGCGGGGGCGGGGATCTATACAGTACGTGTTGTTCTCCAACTTCAATACCACGTCTCTGGCCTATCTAGAAAGGAAAACTCACAAATGCGACTACTTAACTGTACTAAATCCCTACGAGAACTGTTCCTAAACTGTTAACAATTTTAAATGCCAATCACAAAGTATAGTTAAATAAAGGTTGTCCTAACTTCCTGGAGCTAATCCTTTCCCGATTTTACAAAACGCTCCCTTACTAGGGGTAAATACGCAGCCCATTTAGCAGACCTTAAAACCGTCTAGGCTGCACACAAGGCTTTGCAGGAGATACAAAAGGGCTCCGGAGAAGGGCCGGGGGGAGCACTAAACCTACCCGCCGTACCCTCTACCCACCTCGGAACGACCTGAATCTGAGAAGACGCTTTATTAATTCTTGAGGTTAGAACAGTTGAAGCCAGGGTTACTAAAAGAGAAGGGTCAGGTTAAGAGTCGCGTCTGGTTATTCAAAAAATGCGACAGAGCCAACGACCGGGAAGTAAGCTCCAGCCGCGTCCACTTAGCCGGGATAGGGGGGAGGAGGCAGCCTCCCGGACCGACCATTCCGCTGAGCTTCGGCAAGGGTCAGAAGCCCTGGGCGCGGGCACCAAAGGTCAGAAGGCCTGAGGCAGGCATGGCTTCCGGCACGGAATCAGGTTCCCGGCAGGGAACAGGAGGAACTAAAACCGCGAGGACTCCCACCTCGAAGAGCCCTGCGACTGGCCCGCAGACGCTGCCACCCGGCCCGCTTGGCCGACGGGGCCTCACACACCCTCATCCTTCGGTGGCCGCACGGAAAAGAAAGCACAGCTTCTTCCGCCGCCCTTTCGGCGCTTCGGGCCCCGCCTCTTCCGGTGTTGGCCCCGCCCCTGTTTGGGGGATCTGCTGGGGCGTTCGCCTGGCCGCGGAGCCCCAGCTGAGAGCTGGGATTGGTAGTCTGTTTTGGAGCCCCAGCATCTGGCCAAACGTGTGGCGGAGCCGAGAGGTCTGGCATCTCCGCCTGCGGTGAAATGCCACAATGTAAGTTCATACTGGGGGGACTTTTGGAACTCTGTAGAGGCTTTCAGGGCTCACGAGGACTTCACGTAGAGCGATTTCACTGAGCATGCAAAAATAAAAACCCAGTTTATAATGGGCCGAAGAGAGCGGAAAATGCTCCAGAATGGAAGGGTCTCCCATTCCTAGTACAATATATTTGCTTAGTCTTTTACTCTCACACGTAGTTCGGTGCGTAAAAAACTGGTGGTATTGGACATCCCAATTTAGAGTAAGGATCTCTCTCATTCGCTCCCTGGAAATAAATAAATAAATAAATAAATAAAATCTTTAACAACAACAGCAAAGAAAGAGAATATATTTATCACCCCCAAACATTTTCTCATGCTTCTTTATAATGTCTCTTTCATGCCCTCCAAACCCCTCCTGCAAAACCCATCCCCAAACAACCACTGACTTTCTTTCTCTCACTATACATCAGTTCGCATTTTTCTATAATTTGCTTAAATGCAATCGTATACTATGTACTCTCTTATTTTTAGAGGAGGGGGAGGGGCAGAGAGACGGAGAGGGAATTTTAATAAATTAAAATTTATTTTAATTATTTGAGAGTGAGGAAGAGCTGGGGGAAAGGGGCAGATGGAGAGGGAGAGAGAGAATCTCAAGCAGTTTCCCTGTGGATCATGGAGCCCAAGGTGGGGGGGTGCGCGCTGGGTCCCATAACCTGGAGATCATGACCTGAGCCGAAAGGGAGAGTCAGATGCTTAACTGATTAAGACGCCCAGGTGCCCCAGTATGTACTCTTTTTTTGTTGGCTTCTTTCATTTAGCATAATTATTTTGAAACTCATCCATGCCATTGTATGTAACAACACTTAATTCCCTTTTTAGTGCTGAATAATTTTCCCGTATTTGGATATACCGCTATTTGTTTATCCATAGACCCATTGATGGACATTTGGATGTTTCAGTGTTTGGCTATTACAAATAAAGCTGCTATGAATATTCATATAAGACTTTGTATGGACATGTGCTTTTATTTCTCTTGGGAAATAGCTAGGAGTAGAAATACCTAGGAGTAGAAATACCTAGAAGCTGCATTTTGTGATAGGTGTGTGTTTAATGTTGTAAGAAACTGCCAAACTGTTTTCCAGAGTGGTTGTAGTATTTTTCACTCCCATCAACAGTGCTTGAGAGTTCTGGTTGTTTCACATTTTTGTCAACACTTGATTTTTACTTTAGACATCCAAATAGGTATCTAGTGATATTTCACTGTGCTTTTAATTTGCCTTTCCCTGAAGAATATTGAGCATCTTTTAAAATGCTTATTTGCGACCTGATATCATTTGCAAGTATTTTCTCCCAGTCTATAACTTTTCTTCATTCTTTTAATAGTGTCATTCAAAGAGAAGTTTCATTTTGATGAAAAACTATTTATTATTATTTTTTAAAAGATTTTATTCATTTATTTGACAGAGATACAGCGAGAGAGGGAGCACAAGCAGGGGGAGAGGCAGAGGGAGAGAGAGAAGCAGTCTCCCCACTGAGCAGGGAGCCCGATGCAGGGCTTGGTCCCAGGACCCCGGGATCACGACCTGAGCCGAATGCACATACTTAATGACTGAGCCACCCAGCAGCCCCTTAATTTTTTTCTTATAGGGATTTGGCTTTGGCTGTTATGTCTAAGAAACTTTACCTAAGTCAAACTTCTGGAAAGTCCTCTTCCCCCTCCCCCAACCAGAGACGAGCTCAGTTATTCTTCATGAGAATAAATATGCCCTTCTCAGGACACAGATCACTCTACCAGGCTCATCAAATGACTGTTCCTATCCAAGATTCAGAGCTATGTCTATATAAATTATGTCATGAATTTTGACCCAGTAAGCCCCCTTGACTCTTGATTTTGGCTCAAGTCATGATCTCAGGGTTGTGAGATTGAATCCTGTGGTGGGCTCCGTGCTTAGCAGGGCATCTGCCTGAGATTATCTCCTTTTACCCCTCCCCCTACAGGTTCTCTCTCTCAAATAAATAATCTTTAAAAAAAAAAAAAAAAAAACTTATCCAATCCAGACTTTTAAAAACCATAAATATTCTGCTGCTGTTGCCCTCCCCTTTCTAAGGTGCTATCAAGACTGTCAAGGCAGTAGTCTCCCTTACTTCTCTTATCCCTCCCTCCTTACAAGTTTTTGTGATAAGCAATAAACTTGACTTTGTTCTTTTTTTTTTTTTTTAAAGATTTTATTTATTCATTTGACAGAGAGCACAAGCAGGGGAGCAGCAGGCAGAGGGAGAAGCCAGCTCCCCACTGAGCAGGGAGCCTGATGTGGGGCTCAATCCCAGGACACTGGGATCATGATCTGAGCCAAAGGCAGTCGCTTAACCAACTGAGCCACCTAGGGGCCCAGACTTGACTTTGTTCTACCAACAGTTTATTTTGGCAGTCTTTTCAAAGAGTCAGCAGTCATAGCAGTCAAAAATAAATACACAGAAAGAAAAGGAAGAGAAAAGAAAGGAAAGGAAATAAAAGATGTCTCAAAAAACATTGGTAGACTAATAGAGTATCCATCTACATCCACATTGTGTCATTGTGTGTGTGTGTGTGTGTGTGTGTGTGTGTGTGTGTGTGTGTGTGTGTGTGTGTGTGTTTTAAAGAACCTAAACATCCAGAGACTGGTAAAATAAATTATAATACATCCAAACAGTGGAATGGAAATCCTACTTTTGTCTGGCAAATTTATTTACCCCCTTTTCCAGACTTTTTCAGCCCATTTCTCCCCAGTCTCCTCTTTCCCCTCCCCCCCATTCTTAGGAGGAAACTTACTAGGTAAGTCAGAACCCTTTAAGAAACCACAAAGAGAAACCACAAAGTAATTGAAACAGGAAAATTTAACATAAAGAATTAACTGTAGGGACGCCTGGCTGGCTCAGTCGGAAGAGTGTTTGATTCTTGATCTCATGGTCATGAGTTTGAGCCCATGTTGCATGTGGAGGTTACTTAAATGAGTAAATAACTAAAAACTTAAAAAAAAAAAAGAATTATCTATTAAGGGATTATAGGGATTATCTATTAAGAGAAAAAGAAAATTTTAAAGAATGTGGAAATAACATATTAAAGCTGCTACTGTCTGAGCTGAGACAGCCTAGCAAGGAACAGATTTGGTGTTCCAAGCCCACTCCAGACTTTGCGGCTAAGTGAATGGTAGAGAAGGAAGGTGCCCTCTGGATGGCTGCGGAAAGCTACCTACAGGAAGGTGCTATGTGGTGCTGGCCACAGTGCCCTGTAAGAACCTGTTGAAAGGAGCAAACCAGAAACAGGAAGAGAAGCTCCTCCTGCAATCTCCCTTCAGTACCCATTGCTGGCAAACCTTAACATTATGTGTTTGGCGAAAGGGAAATGTTTATATGGGTCAGGTCCACTAACACAGAGTAGTAATACGGGGTAGATCTGAAGATGAAAGCAAATTGGTAACGGAACATTTTTTCTTCTCCATTGAACAAAGAGAAGCCAACAGCTGGGAAATCATCATCCAATGGGCACCCCTCTATGCATTAGTGCCCACTTTCTCCATCTGTGCTGTTGCTCCCCAATGTGTCCCAGCTTCTTGGTTATCTCCTCCTCAAGGATGCTCCTTCAAGTATCTTCTCTCTTCTGTGTCATCTCTCTCTCTCTTACCAAAGGACTATTCCAGCAGCATATAAACATGTTCCAGTCTCTTTATACTGTTTATTTATTAATTTTTGGTTGCCTCATATCTATTCCTACTTCTTTTGATAAAAGCACGTACTGGTATTGCCGCAATTTACATTTCTACCTCATCTCACCTCCAAACTAACACTTAACATGTTTTCCTACTTCACCGTCTCCTGCACTGAGGGTGGGAGCAGGTAATGAACCTAGACCTGACTTTTGACCTTTCATTTTCTTCTCTCTCTTTTTTAAAGATTTTATTTATTTATTTGACAGAGAGAGAGATCACAAGTTTGCAGAGAGGCAGGCAGAGAGAGATGGGGAAGTAGGCTCCCTGCATGCGATGATGTGGGGCTCAATCCCATCCAGCCACCCAGGTGCACTTTGTTCTCTTTTTCTATTGAAGCCTTTATATATGTTCTTCCTTTCTAATGGAAACTTAGTTTAAGTCATTTCTTGAGATTACTTTTCCTCAGCAAAACTTAAAGTTTATTCCTTTAAACTTTGCTCTTAATAGTAAAGGGATTTGAGGGATTTAGAATTCCCCTTTCCCTTTCAAGTCTATCACCTTCAAAGGGACTTAAGAAAGTTAATGTAGAGGGATGTCTGGATGGCTCAGTTAGTTAAGCATCTGCCTTCGGCTCAGGTCATAATCCTGGGGTCCCGGGGTCCTGGGATCGAGCCCTACATCGGGCTCCTTGCTCAGCAGAGAGCCTGCTTCTCTCTCTCCCTCTGCTGCACCTCTCTTTGTATTCTCTCTCTCTGTCAAATAAATAAAATCTTAAGAAAAAAAGTCAGTGTAGAGACAGGGTTGCCAGATGACCTTGATTAATGTGAATAACTTGGGGTACCTGGATGGCACAGTCGGTTAAGCCCTTGATCTCAGCTTCGATCTTGGTCTCAGGGTTGTTGAGTTCAAGTCACATGTTGGACTCCACACACAAAAAATAATGTGAATAAATTCCCATTATGCTTAAAAAATAGCCACTTGCATATATGGTCAATTGATTTTTGACAAAGATGCTAACACCATTCAGTCAGTGGGGAAAAGACAATCTTTTCAACAAATGAAACGAGAAAACAGTATCTACATGCAAAAGAATTA